GAGATGAGGTCTTGCCTGCCCAGGCGGGTCTCGAACCCGCGGGCTCAGACAATCCACTCATCTCAGCCTCCCAAAGGCACGGGATTACAGGCTGAGCCGCTGAGCCTGGCTTAAAATATTTTTTCCCATTCTGTGAGCTGTCTTCCTGCTCTTTTGATGGTTACCTTTGCTTTGCAGAAGTTTTTCAGTTTGATGAATTTCCACTTGTCTATCTTATCTTTTATGGCATAGGCATTTGTGATTTTGATCAGGAATTGATTGCCTATTCCAATTTCTGTAAGGGTGTCTCCTGCGTTTTTTAAGATTTTTATAGTTTTAGGTTTTAATCCTTGTAGAGTTGATTTTTATGTATGATGATAGGTAGGGATCCTGTTTCAAACTTCTGCATGTGGTCAGTCAATTTCCCCAGCACCATTTACTGAATAGGTAACTCAAAAAACAACAGATGCTGGAGCGGATGCAGGGAAAAGGGAATGTTTCTACACTGTTGGTGGGAGTGTAAACTATTACAACCTCTGTGGAAAACAGTGTGTGGCGATTCCCAAAAATCTAAAAATCCACCTTCTGTGCAACTCAGCAATCCCCATTCAGGGACTATTCCTAGAGGAGTTCAAATCATTTTATAAAAAAGATACCAGCACACGCATGTTTATTGCAGCACTATTCACAAGAGCAAAACCATGGAACCAACCAGCCTGCCTACCAAAACTGGACCAGATTAACAAAATGTGGTACATATACACAATGGAATACTACACAGCCATAAAGGATAAAGTTATGGACTTTGCAGCAACTTGGATGGATTTAGAGTCTATAATACTCAGTGATCTATCACAGAAACAAAGAACTGAGTACCACATGTACTCACTCATAAGCAGATCCTGAACAATTATCATAATACTATAAGAAAGGGATTGACAGTAGCAGGAAACTAGCAGGGGAGTGGGGGGGGCACTTCACATCAACAAGGATTTGTGATCTCAAACCAGGCAAAGCGGGGACCAAATGGAGACCCAAAGTTTACCTGTAAAATGGCCATTTATCTGCCTAATCCTGAATTGTACCCCACATCTTTAAAATAAATAAATTTAACCAAAAAAAAAACCATTATTTTTCTCAGTCGCTCACCTTCAGCTTCAATGTGGGCTGTCCTCCAACGTCCTCACAGCACAGACACCTTTCTGGGTTCTGGATTCCCAAATAAATAGGATCCCCTTTGCCTTTCTCAAGAGTCTCTGGATACCTACACACCATAACAGTGATAGTGACTATAAAGATAAGAGGGGAGATAAATCAGTTTCTTTCTGAAGTCAGAAAAGACTCTGATATAACAGGGAAGTACCTTCCAAGTGAATCTGGAAAAGACCTGAAGAATGTAATCTCTGCTACCTCAGACCCACTAAAAATGACCAACCACCATATGTTTTTACTCATCCATTCATAACATGTGCCAATCACTGCCCTCGTAAATGGACAAACACAGGAGTTAAATGGATGGCAGATCCTGCTCTTGAGGTTTTCATAACTCTACTTGAACACTTAGAGATGGAAAGCTCCTATGCCAAGCAGCCCCTCTGATTCTTCAAGAACTCAGTCCATTGGCAAGTTTGGCCTAATGTGATGTTGAAGTCTGACTTCTTGTGGTAATCACCCATTTAGTCCTTTTAGAACACTTTGTAGTCATGCAGAACACGTTACTCCTCTTCCAAAAAACTGGCCTTCCAACCACTGAAAGCAACTCTTCTACTCCTCAGGATGGTTACTCCACCATCTCTGATTTTTTTTATTCTAGTCTAAGACAAATTTTTGCCTGACTTGTCTTCCTAAACTAGTGTAAAATTATCTGGAGATGAACCCCATTGTAAAGCCACACTTTCACACACAAAAAAACCATGTTACATCCCAGCTACACTAGTGCAAGGGGCAGGGTAGCCACACAGTAACCACTCACCTGGAGCCACACTGTCACTCCGTGGAAATGCCACAAGGGTCTCACCCTGAAGGGTCCATACATGCTGATTCAAATCGTTGACCTCCCCAGTCTTAACTGTAATTGCAACTTTTTGATTTAAAAAAATGAAGAAACATGATAATCAAGACTACTTTACTGATCACTAGAAGAAAGGTCGTCTAATCCGGGCCTTTTAATAAGGAAGGTCTAGGATTTACACATCGAAATTGGAAGCACTCACATGACCCATTAGTCCAGCATTTCTAGTAAAGTTGTGGGCTCTGGTGAAGAAATTGAGGGCTACCAATGGAGGTCACTTTTTTTTTTTTTTTGAGTTGGAGTCTCACTCTGTCACCCAGACTGGAGTGCAGTGGCCGCTCCCAGCCACCGCAGCCTCGACCTGCTAGGCTCCGGCGATCCTTCCGTCTCAGCCTTCCAAGTAGCTGGAATTACAGGCATGCACTACCACGCTCAGCTGATTTTTAAATTTATTGTAGAGATGAGGTCTTGCTGCCCAGGCGGGTCTCGAGCCCGTGGGCTCAGGCAATCCACTAACCTCAGCCTCCCAAAGGCATGGGATTACAGGCTGAGCCACTGAGCCCGGCTGGAGGTCACTGTTTTAAGAGGGCAAACCTTCAAGACAGAAGCTAATAAGCAGTCAAGGCCTAGCTATTCTCTTTTGTACCTACTGCCTGCTTGGCTCAGTGTTGGGGACTAGGGCTGGAACAGTGACTAAGTAATAATCCTCTCTCCAGAAGCCCATGGTCCAGTAGTAGATGGACAGCACCAGGTAGTTAGGGCCATGCACGGGGAGTAACAGAGAATGTGGGGTTTCCAGAGGAAACAGCTATGAGTTCAGGGGGCCCAGGACCCCAGGTCCCCATTCTAATATCACTTGTACCTGACTGATGGAATTCATTTCCTTTATTGGCAGATGGCATTTTGTCATTTCCATGGGCAGGTGGTATTTTATCTTTTCCATGGACAGGTGGGATTTTGTCTTTTCCGTGGGCAGGTGGAATTTTGTCTTTTCCGTGAGCAGGTGGGATTTTGTCTTTTCCGTGGGCAGGTGTCATAATAGGGTTGTCTCAGCACCTGTGAGAACAGAGAGAGGAGAGATAAGCCACAGGAAACTTTCCAAGACTCTCCAAGACACTAACTCCTCTGGCCCTCATGCTAGACAGGGAGCTGGGAAGCCTGGTCTTACGTGAACCTCTAGACAGAAGATCTGACATCACATGAAACAGAACTTTAAGGCAGCTTTAGTAAACAGAGATCAGACAAAATTTTCCTCCACCCAGAGATCAAGCCTCCCAGGAATTCCAAGGCCAAATATGACAGGACCCTGATGCCAGTGTCTCCTCTCCCAGACGCCCTCATCCTATAGACAATTTTTCTGCCTAGGAACAGGGTAGGGGTCTCTGCCAGGGCAACTCTGCTAGGATCCCAGCAAATCCCCAGTGAGAAGCAGCCCCACACAGGACAAGGCACAGAGCCAGCATGGTGCGGCTCTCCCTTGTTGAGCCCCAAAGCACAGACAAAAGGAAAGACTCTAGAGTCCAAGGGGTTTTCAGCTGTCCACTATACCTTGCAAGGAAGGGCCTTTATCAAAAGTCCAAGGGACTTTGAATTGCCACGCCAGAAGCTCCCAAGAGCAGTAATGGGCTCTGACACAACCTAGGTCTTTTATCTGGATGAGCAGAGAGGATGCTCCAGCTTCCTGGGTGGGGTGTGACAAACATATGACATAAAAGAAAGCCAGTTCCTCCTGTCAGAAGATCTTGTGAGGCTCAAAGGAAGACATCACAGAATTTGCATAAGTATGACCTGCTCGGGATCCCTGAGAAATAAGTGTTAAGCCAAGCCCCACAAAGTCAACTACAAGGAAATAGAATTGATGACAAATCCCAGGTTTCTCAGAAAGGAGAGAGTAAGGGACTTTCCCAGAGCTCAGCAATCCTGCCATGTCACTCTGGGGTTAGGACTGGAAATGCCAGGCACCCCATGTCAAGAATTCCATCTAATGGGACTGAGAATCTTTCCTTCTACAAAATCAGCCGGGCGTGGTAGCGCATGCCTATAATTCCGGCTATTTGGAAGGCTGAGGCAGAAGGATCGCTGGAGTCCAGTAGGTCGAGGCTACGGTGGCCGGGAGCGGCCACTGCACTCCAGTCTGGGTGACAGAGTGAGACTCCAACTCAAAAAAAAAAAAAAGAAAAAAGAAACATGGAGACTGAGCAAACTGGTTCTTTAACTGAGGCAAGTCTTGTACCAAGTACTACCAAAATATCGTGGATTCCAGAATCACCTAAGAATTTAAAAATTGGGCAGTGATTTATCCAAAAATTACCACGCCCGGCTGATTTTTTAATTTATTGTAGAGATGAGGTCTCGCTGCCCAGGCGGGTCTCGAATCCGCAGCCCTAGATCCCAGCTTACCCCCCACCTTCTGCCATAGTAATGCAGGTCATTTGTAGGTTCCCCAATAAGCGGTAAGAGTTATTTTTGTATCAATTTACATGCCCCATCTTATCTGCTAGAGTCAAACATAAAAATTTGCTGAGTATAAGTTAACTAGAGTGAAACAAATTTCTGAAGACAGACAAGAAGCACTTACAGCTTCATATTCTCCTGTCTATTTAAGAAATACCAAAAAAGTGAGATAGAACCTTCTAGATAAGTTTCTCCCAACTTCTCAGCTCTGGAAAGAGTTTCCTTGCTTAATTTTTTCTACTTTCCACCTCTATCTTTTCTCTGACCTTGGAGAAACATGGTCCTTTCTGTTGAAGTCCCAATCCTATTACTTTTGGAGTTTATCTGTTACTCTAGGAGACAGTATGATAATGAACTCAAATACACTTCTGTTCAAGGTCAAGTTTAGTCAATATCACCTCTCTTGATGAGTACCCTTTTCCCAGTTGAAGGTCCCCTCCATTATGAATCAACAAACATGCCTCCCTTTTAGATGCTCACCACAAAATAGCATCTAAAAGTCTCCATCATCTTATCCCCACAACCTTAGGCCTCTGTTTCAGTCAGGATCCAATGTAGAAAATAGAACCCGGCCGGGCTCGGTGGCTCACCCTGTAATCCTGTGCCTTTGGGAGGCTGAGGTGAGTGGACTGCCTAAGCCCGCGGGTTCAAGACCTGCCTGGGCAGGCGAGACCTCATCTCTACAATAAAAAAAAAAAATTAGCCGGGCGTGGTAGCTTGCAACTGTAGTTCCAGCTACTTGGAAGGCTGAGGCGGAAGGATCGCCAGAGCCCAGCGGCCACTGCACTTCAATCTGGGCGACAGTGAGACTCCAACTCAAAAAAAAAAAAAAGAAAATTAAATATAACCCATACTAGGACTTGCAAACAAGGGAACTGAATACAAGGAATTGGGTACACCTATGTTAGAAGACCAATGGGTGAAAAAAGAATTACTGATTACTGTGATGTCCCAGATAGTAAAAACAAAGGAAACAAAAAGGAACAAAAGAACCTAAGAACTTGAAGGAGAGATTTTGTAGGACTGATGCCTGGATCTCAGGGCATCTGCCAAATTGATGTTCAGAACTCTAAAAAGAGAGCACAGTCTGGTGGATACATGGACGCTGAAGGTGGAGGGGAGGAGTCAACAGGGAGCTGCTCAGAGATCCCAAGGGATACAACCCAGAGAGTTGCAACTTCATTGATTCAAAAGACCGTGGGTATAGCTTGCCCAGGTGAAGGTTGCAAAAACCTATGAAGTATGGTGACATGTGTCATCTTTAGCCTCAGCCTCCTAGTCCACTTGGTCCTAACCCTCCAACAGCTTACCAACACTTGGAGAAGCCAGCCCTTCCTAAAGTTCCCAGCTCTTGGCATCTATCCTGAAGTTGCCAGTTTAAACTTTCGTGTGCATGAGCATCAGATAAATGACAGGAATTGGAGTGATGATGATAAAAGGGGAGAGATGACTGAACCATTGGGATTGGTGATTGAAGAGTAGAGAGCCATCTACTGAAGAAATGGTCCAGAACATTTATCTTAAAGAGGAAGGGATGAATGGATATGATTACATGGTACTCTAGCTTTACTTGTCCAGACCATCATTGATGCTGCTTATAAAAAAGAAAGAACATAGTTTTGCTATGTAAACATAATCCAGTTGACCACTTTTTCTTTATGTTTCATTATCATGTAGACAAATTGACAATGATGCAAACAAGTGTGACTTGAATTATAAGTACTCACAAGGGCCAATTTCCTCAATATGAAAATGATTTTAAGAGAACATTTACACTCCAGTTTTCAAGATCTAAGATACTAGCATCTATATTTGTTCAGTAATAAGTTTTGCTAGTTTATTCACTTAACTTACTCATGACCTTATTAAGTTGAGGGAACATCAGTGGAAACCAGGTAGAGTAAGATAACTTGATCATTTACCACAACTACAATCTCTAGAATCTGTTATTGGATGCCCAGTCTCTATAATGAACCCAATCTCTCTTATTTATGTGACCAGGCTAACAATCATAACTAATAAAGCAGAAGGAGCCATGAAGCAGTAAATATTGTCTGGTTCCTACCTTACCAACTATGCAGAATCAGAATCAAATTAGTAGTAGAACTATACTTGGAATCTGTAACTCCTAACCCCAAATCCAGGGCTCTCTGTTGGGTGCTCACTGTCTCCCTTGGGGTTTCAAAAAGGACTAAAGCTACTATAGCTTAAGTCCTGTCGAGAACTACCTATAAGGACTGGCAATCTGGTCTGGGGATTGCTACTGGAAAAGAATTGATACTCACCCTAGTTGAACTGATGGAACAATATAACATTACCACGAACAACAGAGACCAATGTGGAACAATTTATACTCTAGTAGGTAAAGGGAAATGCCAAGGAAATTCTTAGGGAAGTCTGTGACATAGCCTTTACCCAATATGGATGGAATGATGTGGTTGGACATGGCCCAAAACCTCGTTCCTCCATGCAGTCCAAGCCCATTGTCTAAAACTTGCTTCCTGTGGGTTGACCCATGACATCCTCCTAAAGCTGATCTCCATGAAACTCTAGACTTTAGCACATGGGTCAGCATGCTACATAACAGCTTCCTCCTCCTTATGTGAAAATGAAGGTCAAAGTAACAGAAATAAGCCCAGGCTACTCACCAAAATGGTAGAAATAAATAGAAGTGTTAAAATAGTTAAAATGAGGTGAAGCATGATGCCTCCCACCTATAATATCAGCACTTTGGGAGGCCACGGCAGAAGGATGGCTTGAGCCCAGGAGTTTGAGACCAAATTGGGAAACATAACAGGACTTCATCTCCACAAAAATAAAAAAATTAGGTAGGCAAGGTGGCACATGCCTATAGTCCCAGCTACTCAGAGGCTGAGGTGGAAGGATCGCCTGAGCCCAGGAGATCAAGGTTGTAGTGAGCCATGATTGTGCCACAGCACGCCAGTCTGCATAACAAGTGAGATCCTGACTAAAGAAAAAGGCTTTTTAAAAAATAGTTAGGACAAAAGAACCAAAGCATGCAGGATACAGGACATTCTAAAGGCATTCTTCTCAATGTTCAAGACAGGTATTAAGAAAATTGTACATTTATGTGCAAAAAAGGCTAAAGCAATAAAAAGCCTTAATCAGATATCCCATAGTACAACACTAAAGGAAGAGTTCTAGGTTAAATGTCGAAAATTTTCAAGTCCTGGACAAAGAGCCAAACGACAGAGTACCGTAGCCTTCTTTGACCAATGGTCCATGTAACATAAAATATAAAAGCCATGAAAGAAAAGATGATAAACTGAATGCCACCAAAATTTTAGAATTTTGGACAAGTTATGAAATAAAGTTAAAAGACAAGATACCCAGAAGAAATTTTTTGCAACACATCTAACAAATAATATTCAGAGTTTTAAAGAAGTTCCTACTAATTAATAGAAAAATGCAAATAATTACATAGGAAGATGAGCAATTATGTAAAAATATTTCATTGAGTAGAAAATATAAATGTCTAAGAAATGTAATAGTAGTTATCCACACTAGTAATTAGTAAGATGCAAATCAAAGTGACAATGAGATTCAGTTTCCACCCATCAGG